AGGCTTTCACTAAATCTTATAATGTACAAGATAAAGGTATTATCAATAATAATACAACTTTATTCTCCGTTTAAATCATGTAGTTACTATGAACATAAATATAAAAATGGCTATCCTAGTCGATAATCCAGCATTAAATAAAGATACAATGCATTTTGTATAGTTACAGGACCACGTTATGAGTTCTTAGCGAAAAATACAGCGTTACGGGCTCCAATAAGTTTGTTGAAAAATCGAGATTGTAACGCACCAAATAGAAATAAAGCTTTATTCTTGCACTGATATCCTTGACAATACAGCTTTATTTTTACAGAGCACCTTTTGAGTCAATAACCCGTTTTTAGCGTTACGGGGTCTTAGTTTTTATTTTGGGAAGACAGAAATGACAGAATCTCTAAATTTGTGAGCTTGTAGAACTGGCGACTAAAATTTCTAAATCAAAAAAAGTTTTTGCAACATTAATGACCATTGTGAAATACAAAACGTCTTAGTTGGAATGTCTAAATTTAATTGTGTGCGATTGTGAGAGCATTCTTCGATGAAATGTTAAATTCATAAGATTCCGGTCGCTCAACTTAAACAGCGTTCAAGTCACGGATACATTTTTTTGCTGTCTCTTGTGTATAAGAACGTTGTTTACGTTAAAAACTTTAGGATTCGACACCATCGAAGAATCAAAAACTTTATTTCAGGGGTCATCAAAACTCTAAATTTACGAGTGGGACACGAGCCCGTAACGCTAGTTCAGCCCCTTTTTTTATTTAACTCTAAAAGAATTATTTTTGATGGTCCAAATAAAGTTGTACGTGAGCACTATGAGATGAGTTTCAGAAAAAGACAAAGCTTTAACCACCGCGGTACTATTTACTTCAGATTCGCATACTTGAATTTTCAAATCGTAAAAAAAAATTTTTTTGTCGGTATGCCACATATATTTTGGTTGAATTTAGTCTTATTAATCCTATTATACAGCTTCAATAGAAATTATGGTCCAAAAAGCTTAGGTTCCAGCATACTGCGCTTTGCGGTGAGAGCTTTTAGTGGCTAAGTGATACAGCGCTTGTTTTCCGCCCAGAGAGCGTGGGTTTGAGACCTTGCTCCGACACTTTTTCACAGATACGTTTGAGATTTTTTTCACATGTTGTAATCACTGCAGTAAAGTAGCTCCTGTTTCTGGTTAAATGATAATCGTGCAATGATGACGGTAAAGAACAACGGTACCTGGGTCCAAGGTGTTGTGATGCGTACCATGCAGTCAGAACAGTAAGACTTAATGGTGCCTCGAGGAAGTAGGGTGGGGAGTTGGTAACCCTTGTAATGAGGTGACCTCGTAAACTATCATCAATACAAAATATATAACACAAGGTGTATATGCCTATAAATAAAAAAAAAATAACTAGATAGATAATTCGTATTATTGCTAAAGTAGATACTTACGCGATGTCAACTTTAAGTATATGTAAGCTAAGCATTTTGCATATGATCAATTTAATATTTTATTGTGTTACTTCCTGCATCCTTGTACTTTAAGCCTTCAGGTTTCTATTAAAAACAGTTATTCTTTCTCATCTTTATTATTAGCAATTAATTAAATAATTATTATAGGGTCTTTAAAGTGGGTTAACACCGATGAAGTGTAAAAAGTTCTCGATTTTTTAATAAATATAAATGATAAATGATCAATATTGCGTGATGCAAATATAAATACAGTTTTTTAGATTAACAAGTTAATCGTGGTAATTATATAATTAGTAGACCACAATAAAAAATAAATAGCTATTTTATTTTTAAAAGGGTATTACTATTTCTATTCTAAATAATCAAACTTACATTTGACAACTTAATTTGGAGCTTGAGAAAAAAATAAAAAGTGAGAGGACAAACGATTAAACATAACCTTTCTCCTTTTTTCTTTGACTGTGTGTCATGAGTAAAAAGCGCAGTCATAAAATTTAGTAATTTACCTATTGATATGTGTTGTTTAATAAAATAATTATTCAGAATAAATGATCTGACACAGCTTTAGTGTCAACATAATGTGACTAATAAAATTAGAGATTCTAACAATTCCCAAATAGCCTTTGACTCAGACATTAAGAAAATCAATAATTAAACATGACTAATCAATTTTTGAATAAAACTGAATTAAAAATTGTTTGATAAGTGTGCAAGTAGCTTGCGCATCGCTTTCCAAAGTCTTGTACATAATAAAGAAAATTGAGAAAAAAGCGTACCCCATTAAAAACCCTTCTACTATATTTTTCTAGGAAACGTTTTTAGTTAGGCATATTTATTAACTAGCAGCCCCCCATCTCGGCCTCGCTCCAGACTTACTAAATGGAACACCGTAATGTGTTCACTTGTAATGTGAAACGTTTTCAGTTAGAAATTTGACACTTTCTATTCCTGACACCTCAGAACAAAAATCTTCTTTTAAAAAACATATTTGTTTAAAATCTATACAGTTTCCTTGGTCAAATAATAAACTGCAAAAATTATAAAATATAATTATGCTGAAAAGTACCGTGCGTTCCTCATGCCATAAAATAATCGTTGGCCATAAGGGGCCGTTGATTTGCAGTATCTTCCGTACAATTTACAAAAAGGGCTATTTTTTGAAGCTTTTGAGATTTCAAACTCCCAAAAAATATATATTAAAGGAAAATTCTATTCTTTTATCTCACAACTTTATTGCCAGAGCATTAAAGTCCTAAATGTAGAGTTCAATCTCTACATTTTTTATGGACACAAAAATACAAATACATTTACTACTTCTACATATGAAGATGATCTCTCACGTAATGGATTTTTTATTTGTTGATTTTGACGCTGCTGCTCCAATCTCGATAAATTTTCTGCGTCAGTTTCTTGATGCCTAAAATTATATGCATTCAATACATTTGAAGTTTTCCTACCAATTAACCATCTTGCGACTTTTAGCATGCTTAAGACTGTTGTGACCCCTAATAATTGTTTTCTATCAACCTTAGTAGGTTCTAATATATTTGTTGGTAAAGTAGTTTAACGTCCGATTGCCCCTTAAAAAGACCAGTGAGCTTCTTAAGTAAACTTTTTCTTCGCAGAAGTTTACGAAAAAACATTTTTACATTTTCGTATTACCTTAAAAACGTAATTTGAACTTTGCCAGGGCCTTCTAATCTTAAGTACATAATATTGCACATAAGCGCAGCCTAAGCTTATGTTCACATGGAGGGCAATAGAGCAAGCAGGATAGGAATTTCTCCATAAGTGGCTGTGTTAAGTCTATTGCGCCGCGCAATAGGGCTATCCTGCAGCAGCGCAATAGACTTAACACAGCCGTTTATGGAGACATTCCTATCCTGCTTGCTCTATTGCGCTCCACAAGACTGCAGCCTAAGATACGTTTGGTTTTTACGTTTGAGATCGCTGCATGTAAGGCAAAACTCCTACTATAAATTTTACTGGAGTTCTTATTAGTTTAAATCATTTGTAGTTTTCTGTCATTTTTAAAAAATTTTTTTAAACATATGCTACGTAACTTCTTATTATATTATATTTTATATGATATTACATGCTATAAAATATCTTGTATTCTTGTTCAAGTAATATTAAAATCAACTGTAACTTTTATATCAACTTCAACCTCAAGTGTCGAAATTCACAAATCAGTAGTCGTTGAAATACTGGTCATAACATAAATAAATTACCATAGTAATAATAGCTCTGTAACCTGACTTGATTTTATTGACAAAACAATGGAAACTTTTTTTTAATTTTACTTTTCTGAAGCACTAAAATTTGTTCTCTAATTGTTGTTTTTTATTACTACTCTTTACATTGAAAAAGCTTTAAAAAATCTACCTTAAACATACGGTTGTGGGCAAGAGTATTTTAAGGTGTTTTTAAATCATACTGTAAAGTATAGTTTTTGTAATAAAGTTGAATAAAATCTTTTGCTGAATGTACGTATACTCTTGATACCAACGAATATATGTATAAAGTTTGAATTTTTGAACTCAAGAAAAAAGATTCTTTGATGATATGTTTCATTATGTTCTATTAAATTTCAAATTACAAGACCCTGACAAAATTGTCATTGGAGAAGAATTCTAGCAACAAAGCATCTTTATCAGCATATAACGTGTTACATGTGTTAAGAATATTTTAATAAGAATTCTCAGTCCTAGAACGTTTTATTTTAATTATTTATAACTGCCATGAATTAGTAACTGTAGTGATACATAGTTCTCATAACAAATTTGAAAAAATTTTATGTGATATCATGGGTATAAAATCGCATTAAAACAATTTTTTTTTTGTAAACTTGAAATTTTGACTTTTTGGCACTCTAAAATGTAAAACGTTTAATGAAACAATTATTTTTGACAAAGATCTCAGTATGCTCGAGCGTGCAGGGTATGTAAGAAGCTTATCATTTATAAGATGATGTTACATCCTTCTGTATAATATAATATGCCTACTCATCAATACGCTCTTCTATGAGCAGTTCGTAATTCAAAGGGAGAAACTTGCAAACAGACTGTAACCCTGCTCCCCAATAGCTTATATTTTTTTAGTAAAGAAAAGTGCTCAATAGCAGAGATAACAGAATGTGATGTTCCTTGGCAGAATATGTCACGAGACCTAATACTCAGACACTTTATTAGCATCCTACGAAATTGGTGCAGCTGTGCCTGACTTGGATAACTCATTCACATTTTTTGTCCTTATCGCAAGTCAATGTATTATATTAAGTCGCATGTTAAAGTTCAGTTCCTCATTTTTAAGGTAATATGAAAATGTAAAAATGTTTTTTCGTAAGAATTTAAAGTTTTTTTGCATTCATTGTCATACGATTATGGCAATTTGTATGAAAATTAAATTCAAGGAATGCAGAAAGAAATTCGTAGGCGGTTGGATACTTAACTTGTTAGTTTTTATATAACAAAGCAAGGACGAACAAAGCACGCCGTCTATAAATAGTAGACAAGAAAAATCTGGTAGATATGTTAGCTTACCATTTGCATCAGAAACGCTGAGTATCTGTAACACCCACACTGTAACAGTGAAGAGGACCAATGCTGTTCGGTGTTCAGGGACACCCATGACGTTTAACCTTGCTATTACGCTTTTACGCCACTTGTATTATCGCCCCCTTCTTCTCTCGATCCTAAGCTCTTTGATGCACGTGCACTTGCGCTAGCACTTCAAACAGTGTCTGGCGTAAGTCAGCTGTCGTTTTTAAATCTGCAAACTTAATTATTAGATTGCTGTGGTTGACCAATGCACACTCTAGTTGTCAGTAACAAACAACTGTTGCTCTCTAATCACTTGGTACACTAAGCACTTAAACTATATCTTTTATCTTAGCGATGGCAGTGAGTCACAATATTTCTTAGAGCTACACGATCAGCACACAACCGAGTTTGAAGAGGATTGATCAGTGTGCCAGAATCTGCAGATGTCTAAGGCTTAACAATGCAGCGGAGAGACAAATAGAGAGGATCACTGCAAGGACGGTAGCTGATGCTGTGGCAAAGTTACCTGATGCACTGAATAGATCGAGGAGGCCAGGAGAGACCCCCTTGCTTTGGATGGCAGCAGCATACCAAATGGGTAAGACAAGGATGATTGCAATGTCAGTGGGGCCTTTACTATGGGCCTCAACAAAAAGTACAAGGATGAAAAAGTCACACATGTGCATACATGAGCTCATACCAGCAGCCAAAAGCAGTTGCTACTAGAGTGCTTGCTGCCTTTTGTACTAAAATAAGGACTTGTTGTTTGTAGTGATATAAACATTTAAGGTTTGCTGTCTCATTGCTGACGTAGGCGTTTTCTTGTGAGCTCCAAGTATCAAAATATAAATATGCTTTTAACTGTTAGTATGAGATTTTAAATTGCTTCTTTTATTTCAAAACTTTTANATTTGGATTTTAAGCAAGTATAATATAAATGATAGCAATACTTTAAGTCGTGATGACGATGTTATTATTCCAAATTGGAGTCCTTTTCATTAAATGCTAAGTATGAATAATCAATTAGTCTCCATCATTGGATTTTGCCCTTTACTTCCACACGCGCCTACTTCACCTACTGTAGTTTTTACAGCGATGAAAAATTTTGTGACACTGAGTGAACTTAATGGCAAGGAATACAGCGTTTTAACAGCCAATATGGCTATATTACATTATTTTATGTTCTAAAATTTCTAAATAAATATTGTACATTAACCACGTCAAGAGTTTTTACGAAAAAATCATCACAAAACCATAATGTTATGGTAACTCTAGAGAGTTTTACGTATAACCAAGGCTTATAAGACTTTTTTTTCCTAAAATAAAAGGTCTGTTTAGTTTGACGTATGGTAAATAAACATTTAAAAAAAAGTTATTACATTTTTCTATAGTCGTAACATATTGTGTTCTCTGAATTTATTGTTAGCCTTGAAAAGTAAAAATCAAAATGCGGACGACATAAAATTTTTTTATATTAATTGCATATCACTGGTAGTAGTGTACTGTTTAGTACTTGTACGCTTGTACGTTAACTAAATCAGACTAAGACAGTTTTACCTCTTACTGAAACAACACGTAAACAAATCATTACAATTTCCTGATATTTTTATTTGCTAGTGAACTTGACATGGCATAAACGTATTTGATGGAATGTTTGCATAGAATACTAATCAAAAGTAGAAATTACTTAGTTTAATTTTTTTTGAAGGTACGAGTACTAGGCAGTACAATACTATGAGTATAATTCGATAAACATGTTGTGCTAAACGAGAAAAAAAGAACCTTTTCTAGATTTCAATTGTAAAGTTTTGCAAGGCTGACCAGTAATTGAAAGAAATATATTATTTGTACCTTTAATCGTAATAGCTAAAAATGTATGCTGAACAGTCATCATGCTGTGGTTTAATTTTTCCACACACCCATACTGCAATTACCTTAATTTCGAGTCGAGCTACCCCCTTTTATAAGACAGCATTAGAAAGATGAGGTTTAATTCATAATACCTGTACCCTCGTTATATCTTATCCTTCATAGTCCGGGGCCGATCAGACATTCACCGGGGAAAATAATTCGGATGAAAATTTTTGATGCCATCTCGTTCGGAATGTGCCACTGTACCTAAAAGTGCATGTTGCCAGATCAGGATGTGGTAACGATTTGTTTAAACAATTTTTTATCAACAATTTCGTCAAAGTGGTTTTTTTCGTCTAAAAAAATATTTTCATATTGTTTGGTTCATTTGAAACAAAAAACTAATTGGGATGTATATACCTAAGCCCCACAGTTTTCGAGTAAAAAATTCTTGAAAATTCAAAATAGGTGAAATTGACTATTTTCAGCGCTTAAAAACTACATGAAAATATCAATTTATTTATGTGGAAAAAATTTTAAAAAATACTTTAATACGTATTCAACAATGTCCTGGGAGTATATTTCCTTGTTTTTTAGTTTAAGCCCTTGTTTTTTTGATTTGAAGAAATAAAAGTCGTTTCCGCGCGCACCAGCGAGGCGCTCTTTACCACCTATATATCTCTATTTATGGTTATGCTTGCACTCGCGCGTTGCGGGCAAGTTCTATGGTAAATTGCGACGCAACTTGTTTGGGCAAGAAAGTAGTATACTTATATTTTTTGTCAGTTTCACTGTAGTGTTCGAAAGTATTAGACTGTATAAAGTTCGTAATTGTTCTATGAATGAGAGATTTTATTATCGAAAAACAGTGTACAGTTACAACTTTATCATTTGTGTATCAGTTTTAAGTAAGTAATGATCACATAAAATGTCTAAGATTATTCCACTGAAAATAAAGTGTTCAAACGATGATTTGTTGTGTATTGTTCGTGATGAAAAAAAAAAAAAATACCGTGCAAAACCTACGAGCAGATACGTATCGAACTTTAAAACGTGCATGTGTACGTCGAGAAGACAATGTTAGCCAACGATTTACAGATTTGTATGATGAAAATCTTGACAAACAACGATTTTTATGGCATCGAACATGTTTTGCGTCTTACACAAGCGAAGAAAAAATTAGACAAATCGAAATTAGCAACTCAAGAAAGGAAAATTGGACCGATGTTTTTCAAGATACTCAAGGCGATGTTGAATCCGAAGTTGAATCGCCTTTGTCAAATTTATCGGATCCTCCAAAGGTAACAAGTTCTGTAATATAAAACTGTAATAATAGTATGTGTGTAATTTGTGATAAGCGTAGTGAAAATAAAGACTTTAAAACTTCTGTAATATCAGAACCGAAAGCTGCAGAAAAATTTCTAAATGTTGCTCGTTTGAAAATGGATAAAGTGTTTACGAAAATTGGCTCATGTGAAACTCCTGAAAATCTTCTAGACCGTGGATTTCGATATCATGATGCATGTTTGAAAAGTTATTTGTACATTCCAAAGGAATCAAAAAATAAGACAGGGAGACCTCTCCATTGTACTCCTCAAGTTATTAGCGAAGCTTTTCAAAAAGTAATGAAAAATAATAATATTCGTGATTCAGCTTTCGAACTAAGTTTTCTGAGAGACAATGTCAATAAATTTTTGGAAGCTGAGTATTTTGTTGACAATAGAAAAATGAAAAATTTTTTGATACAGGAGTACGGAGAAAAAGTTATGTTTTTTTATTCCCAAGGTAATTCAAGTTCAGCAACAGTATTTTTCGTCGACGTACCACTTGAACAAGTTATATTGAAACTTAAAGAGTTAAATGATCCTAAAAATAAACTTCGTGAATGTGCCAATATTATAAAAAATGAAGTTGATTCGATAGACACAAGTATTAATAGTTAAGTCTGTGATAATATCGTTTTAGATCATTTTTTACAAAATTTCGAGCTTCCACCAAATTGGAGTTATTTTTTGCAACATTTACTTAACAACAATAACAAATTAAGTAATAATAAATTACAAAAAGCTAGATCTTTACTTATGGACATAATTTATATTGCCAAAGGATTGCTTACTCCGAAGCACATCGCTCTTGCTGAAACGATACACCATTTAACTCGCTCTAAACATATCATACAAATTTTATCTAAATTAGGACATAGCATGAATTACAAACAATTACTCGAATTGGATGATCTGTTAATAAAAAAAATCATCTCGAGTACTAACAATGATGTAGTCATAACTCCTAGTAATATTGTAAAAAACGGTTCATTATTTTAACACGGTGCTATGGACAATAATGATTTTTTAGAAGAGACTTTAAGTGGAAAAAATACAACACACGTGACATCAATGGTATTTTATCAAGAATATTCAACTGACTTTCAACCTAAAGTGCATATTACATCGAAGGAAAGTATGAAAAATGTTACAATGGATTTATCATCACTTCAACGTCTCGAAATTTGTTCAATTACAAATAAAAAACCAAAAATCTTGAATTTCGCAAGCATTGATTGTCTTTTAAATACAGTGAATCACCACCACACAGAACTGATTTGGATTTTAAGCAAGTATAATATAAATGATAGCAATACTTTAAGTCGTGATGACGATGTTATTATTCCAAATTGGAGTCCTTTTCATTAAATGCTAAGTATGAATAATCAATTAGTCTCCATCATTGGATTTTGCCCTTTACTTCCACACGCGCCTACTTCACCTACTGTAGTTTTTACAGCGATGAAAAATTTTGTGACACTGAGTGAACTTAATGGCAAGGAATACAGCGTTTTAACAGCCAATATGGCTATATATTTAATAGCCAAATTAATTCAAATGCAACCATTTAATTATTTCCCAAAATTAATATTCAGAATTGGGACGTTTCATTTACCAAAAAATTGGCTTCGTTGTTTAGGGCAATATTTATCTGGCAGTGGTATAGAAAATGTATTAGATGAAACAAATACGATTAAATCGATATTTAATGGCTTGCACTATAATAGAGGAGTAAGGGCACACAAGCTGTTGTACGAAAGTGTAAGAGCACTCCAAATTTGTTAATATTTAAAGTTTTGTAACAATAGCTACCTTTTGGAATTTCTTTCAATACCACAATTCAATGCGTTTCGTGAATCTATTGTTGATCGTGACTTCATTAAAGTTTGTACAATGTTTGAAGAAGTATGCGAAAAAGCCGTTGATTTTTTTACAGATTTTCAAAATTTTTTACAACAAAAATGTATAGAAAATCAAAATTTTTTATTTTTTAACAGTTATTGTGAAATGGTCGAAATATTATTTGATTCTATAAAAGCGGACAGAACAGGTGATTTTAATTTACATTTAACGTCCACTAGACGAATGCTACCATATTTTTTAATTTTAAATCATCCTCTCTACGCTAGAGGTGTTTCTTTATATCTCCAGGACATGATGCAGTTACCGAATACCGTTAAAAAAGATCTCGAACGAAGTATGACATCAGTAAAAAGAAAAGACGGCGTTTTTAATGCAGTTGGTGGCGATCCAGCTTTAGAACAGTCGCAAAATCGGTCAACAGCTATATCTAGTGGCATGATCGGCATTACGCA